CCGGCTCAGCTCCAGGCTCCAGCTCCAACCCCGGCTCTTCCCCAGGTTCTAGTTCCTCCCGGGTTGGGTCGTCCGGCTCCGGTTCTGGCTCCGGCTCTGAGGCCCTTCCTCCCGGAGCGTCCATTCGCCTGGCCGACTTGTTTGTCCTGAACCGGAACTACGTGGTTGTCGATGCGATCGAGCGCCCGGGTGGCAAGTTCCCCACAGCCCTCCTTGGCGATACCGTGGTCCTCGATTTGCATGCCTTCGAGTACGACCTGAAGTCCACCATGGAGATGGCCCTCAACTCGCAAGCCGTGCGCCTGCTGGCCGCCTCGAATAATGCCACTGCCGAACTCGATGAGGCACTGGCCCGGATCCGTGATTTCCACCTGGCCGATCATGCCATGTTGGTCGGTGTGAAGTTCAGCCAGCGCGGGGACCTCTACTCGCAGCAGGACAATGCCCTGGTCGCCGCTCTTGTGGGGGCCAGCGATACGGTCATGTCGGTTCTGTCTGCCGAGCCGCATCTCTTGGGTCCTGGGGCCGTGGCGCCGATCAGCCAGTTGCTGGCCTCGCCGCGTGTCTCCTCCGGTGACCGTGTTGGCGTCAAGGGGTCCTTCGGCGGCGGGGTTGATGCCTTTGGTGATCAGGACCCCAACCGGATGGACTTTGCCGATTCGCTCGGCATCCTGGCCGGTGGGCCGGCCGGCATCCTGTCCGCAGCCGCCTCCAAGCCTGGGCCCTCACCCGACGAGGTGGCGGTTCTCTCCTCGGAAGTGACTTTCCCCGTGTATGACACGCTGCAGCAGACATCCTTCATCCGGCTGTCGCTGGATCAGCTATTCTTCATCGCCATCGGCACCCTGGTCCTGCTGGCAGTGCTGCTGGTGTTTTCCCTTCTGCTGGAGGACGTCGAGGGCAAAACCTATGAGTATGGCATGCTCCGAACCATGGGCATGCCGGTGACATTTGTGAGCGCAATTGTCGTGGTCCAGGTATGTGTCCCTGGCGGCGGCGGCGGCGGCGGCGGGGAGCATCCTTTCGGGATCTTCTTTTCGTTTCTTCTTGCGATTTTCCTCCTTGCTTCTGCTCCTCCTCCGCCCTTCCTCCACTCCCCCTTTTATGCTCCCTCTTCTCACCGATGTTCTTGGTTGGCGAAACAGTCTCTCTTCTTCTCGATCCCCGGCATTTCGGTCGGCCTCATGATTTGTTTCCTGCTCCACGCCCCAATCGAGATGTTCATCTCCAACTATGTTGGCCTGCCGCTGCAGATGGGTCTCGGCTGGCAAGCAGTCGTCCAGGGCATCGGTGCGCTCGGGTCTTTTTTCGAACAGACCCCCGTCTGCCTTCCTGACTTCTCCCCCCACTCACCGTCCTTCTCCGGGGATCTCTCCTCTCCGTGTAATGCGCCACAGTTCTTGGCATTACCTTGCCGTTGATTGGGACACTGGTGCCCATCCGTCGTGCCCTTGGCCGTACCCTGCGCGGGGCTTTGGATCTCTATCACAACACGGCCAACGACTCGCTGGTCACCGTACGTACCGGGGCGATGCCCTCAGAGAGCCGGACCACTGCATCATTCGCCTCGCCGGGCGCGCCTCCCCCCCCTCCCCCACTGACGGGACTCTCCCTCCTCCACGACGCATCAACTGTCCCTGCCCCGCGTATGCGCATGCGGCGCATGTCCATCAACCTGTCGATGCCATTTGCAGGTGCGGAAGCTCACGGACATCGGCTTCAACCCCCTTGAAACCACGGTGGCTCTCATCCTCGTTGGCTTGGGCGTCCTGGTATACTACCTGGTTCCACTGTCGTTCATCTTCAACAACCTCGGCCTCTTTTTCAGCGTATTGTCGGTGATTCTCATCAGTGCGTGGCACTTGCCTTGACGACTGTCGCCTGCGCTCCATGACCCTTGACTGACATTCCCCCCCCCCCCCCCCTCATCCGGCGATTAGCCATGGTCGTTGGACAGGTTCTGATTGCCCAGGCCGTGGACCTGGCCTTTGAGAAGCTGTGGGTCTGGATTTTGATGTGGGGCGAGGACCGGTGCGTTTGGCCATGCCAGCATCTTGCCGGATTGTCCTTCTTCTTCGCTCCTCCCTCTGGCTCCCTGTCCTCCTCCTGCGTTGGCCGTTGCCCCTTCTAATTCGCCTTGTGCCCTCCTGATGGCAACTCCTTGCGTCAGCATCCTGGCACCGCTGGTTATCAAGAACCTGGTTGCCCATCGGTCACGTAATCGCAAGACCGCCATCATGTTCACCATGTTGGCGGCCTTCGTCATTTTCGCCGCCTCACTCTTCGTCCTGCAAGCCCGGTCCATCCCGTCTGCCACGAAATCCCTGCTGGGGTCCGACATCCTGGTCATGTCTACCTATGGCATTGATCATCCCCTGCCGGTACCCGAGCTGCGTGCTTATCTCGACCGTTTCCGGACCCAGAACCCGTGCGTCTTGTTTTTTTCCCCCGCCCACCGAGCCCCCCCCCCCCCCCCGCACTACTCCTCGTCCGACATCGTCGGCCCGGTGATGGTCCACTCGGCCGATGCCGCGCAGGTCCTCGGTGCCGACCTCTGCCTGGCCTTTGTCCTGGTTGGTGCTGCCTTCTCCTTGTGGTCCATGCTGACCGCCCGCCAGCGTCGCGCCAACTAGGTTCCTCGGTCCCTCGCCCCCTCGCCCGCTCCGCCCCCCCCCTCCCCGCGTGTGTGTGTGTGTGTGTGTGTGTGTGTGTGCGTGTGTGTCCGTTCAGGCTGGCAGACGACTGACAGGATGCCATGCTTGCGGGTCTCCTCCTCCTCCGGCTCTCATCGCCATCGGACATTCCACTCTCAGGACCATCGACTCTCCGATTGATTCCCAGTTCGCGATTGTCAATGATATCTCCTTCTTCACCTTCCCCCTGGCCAGCTACCCTGGCCTGGACCGGACATACATCCGCTCGGCGGTGACCATCAAGTCCAAGTATGCCAATTTCCAGGTACGTCATGTGTCAGTCATGCTCTCCTCGGCCCAAGTCACAACAGTGCGAGCATCAGCCCACTTCCTGTTTCCCCCGACTGACTTTCGGCCAACTGTGTGTGAACACGCATAGGGCGTTGATCAGAACTATCTGGATGTCGCATTTGACGACTATCTTCTCCTGGAGAAGCCAGTCAATGCCCAATTCGAGCAGACCCTCAATACCCTGCCAAAGACCACGCCTCTGGGCCACCGGAACCCGGTGCGTGCGCTGTACAGCCCGCCCTCTGGCTTCTCCACCGGATTGGAGATCGATCCGCCGCCTGGTGGCTCCTCCTCCAGCGGCCCACCGGTTCTGCCCGACTCGGCCCCTCCATACTTCAGTTTTGATTTCAGCTCCAGCCCCTCGGGTCAAGATACTCGTCTTGAGGCGTACTACGAGTCACATGGGCTCCTTTATGCGCATCGCTATCCCTGCCTCATCTCAAGCGTATGTTCCGACCTGTTCGCCGGTTTGCCGGCCTCATCGTGCCTGTCCTCTGCTCCCTTTTCTCGTGCACACGAGCGTGCTCGTGTCCATTTTCTCCCTTTCCCTTCTTTCCTTTCCCTCCCCCCCCCTATTTGTCTCCCTCACACGCGCACGCGATTGGTTGTCATCCATAGCAAATTGCCTCCTCGACGTACATCGATGTCAACACCGACCTGCTGCTCTCGGTGCAGGATGCCAGCGGATCGGATAGCTACCTCTTTAGTGCGGTGGCTCTGGTGCGCAAGCTCCCCGGGTTTGGTGGCTTCAACCAGTTCCAGGCTAGTGGCTCGCCGATGCTCGTCAACAATGACATCTTTGCCAAGGTCCTGCGGCGCGTGCACGAAAAGGCCAGCCTCCCCGTGCCGGTGCGTCAGCCAGTGCCCTGCCCCTTCCGTTTCCACCGCCCCCCCTCTTTCTCTTTCTCTCTCTCTCTCTCTCTCTCTTCCTCCCTCTATATCTCCCCTGCTCCAGCTCCTGATTGGTGGCTCACCTTCTGTTTAGCCGGTCAAACATGAGCGTCTGCTCATTCGTGTCTTGCCCGAGGCCTCGCCCTTGCAGATTGAGCATATCGTCAATGGTCTGACCTCGCTGCTGACCGAGGTCGAGGGGGCCGAGGTGGTCAATATCCGAGACCAGGTGGCTCAGACTTCCTTCGCGTCGGACATGATTTTGCTTTTCTTCTTCATTGTCTCCGGCGTCGGCATGATCTTCTGCTTCTGTGTCCTCTGGCTGAGTTTCACGGCCAACGTCCGGGAGAATGCCTGGGAGTATGGTGTTCTGCGGGCCGTTGGACTGAACGTACGTTACCCTTGTGTGTGTGTGTGTGTGTGTCTGTATACTTCGGACATTACCCTCCCATCCGCCAGTCTTCCTGACCGTGTCCCCTTTCCCCTCCTGGCATCCTCCCTCCTCTCTCTCTCTCTCTGGGCTCTAGGCGCAAACCGTCACTCGCCTGTACATCTACGAGGCTTTTTCGATCGTCATCTCGTGTTTGATCCTGGGCACACTCATTGGCATTTCCACAGCCACCATCCTCACGTTGCAGATCAACCTCTTTACGGAAAACCCCTTCGACTTCTACTTCCCTGTGGAGCTCTTCGTCTTTGTGGTGGTCCTCTCTTGCGGAGTGGCCGCCATCGGGAGTATTGCCCCAGCACGCGAACTCAGTCAGAAGGAGATTGCTGTTGCCCTTCGTGGTCTGTGAGAGCCGGCCAGATCGTGCTCCTCTCGTCCATTTTCTCCCTCTTTCCCTCTCATCTCCCCTCCCCCCCCCCTCTCTCTGTCTCTCTTCCTTCCCTCGACACATTTCCACCTCTCCCCCATTTGCGCGGCCAATAGTTCTCCCAGCCGTGTTCCTTCCCTCTTTCCCCCTCCATTGTAATACTTTGCTTCGGTGCCGTGCGCATAGGCGCAGACATGTTAGATTAGCTACTCGCCAGGCGAGTCCCTTCTCACCGGGCTGCATTGTATCAAACACTACACTTCCCTGTCTCCTGTCTGCCTCTATGCGTGCACATACGTGAGTATGTCTGGGTTCATTCATACACATACACACACATACACACACAAATGCGTCTGCTCATGCCCGCACATATGAATCTATTACCAAGAGGTGAGAGCCTCGCCTACATGCTTTGATCGGCCAGCTTCCAGAGG